GCTGCCTGCCTTCCTCACAAAGCTTCTAACAGCAGGGAAGTTCAGGGGCTCCCCTCCCTCCACTTCCTGGCAGATCTCCCCATATAGGTATGAAGGTCTACTTTAGAGGGTGTTCATTAACAGGTACTTTTAAAGATAGTTGGTGTCATGATATTTTGATCTTTTCCTCTGCCTGGAATTTGGAAACGCCAGCATTGTGCAGTACATGGATGGTTGTTCTCATGGCAGAAATGCCCCCTACCCATTTTCTTCCCTTGACTGACACAATTGCCTCCTGGGTTTCCTCTTCATCTGTCCCACAGGAGCTTGGCATGGAGACTTCCTGGTGGTGTTGGATGATGGTTTGGCTTCAGGTATTCATGAGGGCAGATCTTCCATGGATTTTATCTGATGCTATTTAATAGTGGGAAAAGACTCACTGACCCAACTGGTCTGGAAATCACACAGCTTTCAAAAATATCCATGTAAAGTTGAATGCCTTCTGGCTTCTGATAGATGGTGATTTGGAAACCTTTGTGGAGCAGATAACTCTTGTCCAAAGGCAGGATGCAATTTCTGCTAGCAGCACTGGGAGAACAGCAGTTGTTTCTGAGTCAGTGCATCAATTATTTATCCTTCAAAGAGGCACCTGGTGGGCAGAGCAGGAAAGAATGCCACCGAACACTCCCGCTCCATGGATGGAAACTGTCAACTTTTTAGGCTTGTGCCTTTAAAGATCACAGATCTTTGTATGATCATTGAACAAACGTCTGAGCTGCAGAAAGTCTGAGCCCAACAGAATGGCTGAGTGCTGAGATATGAGCAAAAGGGGATGTGAAGTGTCCTTCCTTGATGTTGCTGGGTAAAATAAAAATAATCTCTTACCTACTATCAAAACCTTTTGTCTTGTGTAGGGAAGTGGCAAGGCCTGGATTTCAGTACTGCAAGTTCAGATGGATGAAAGCAGCTCTCAGGAAGGATCTGGGCCATGGGGAGTTGTGTTTGGCTGGGCCCAGTGAGGTGCAGCACGCAGCACAACTACCAGGATTGGCCAGGAGTGATCATCAGCAGTGAGGGATCAAATCTGACACACAGTAACTCCTAGGCTTCTAGCCACTGAGTGTCCTTTTGGGCAGCTGAGTGCACTCTGTAGACCTTTCCCCCTCCAGTAACCTGAGCAGACCTCATGTGTGTTAGTGCTGCACTGGTGCAGCCCTTTTTCATACTTCAGAGGAGAAATTTGCCTGTAATTACTGTCACTTAATCATTTGGGTTAGTGAAGTTTTTTTTACTCTTTCCAGGAATTTTTCCTGCCCTCGGGTTAGACAAGGCTGTTGCTTTCTCCTCTGAGAGTGAGGGCTGCGTGCACTGCTGGGGGCTGTGTTCCACCTCTGTGCAGCCCCAGGCTCTCTCTCAGCCAGCAGCAGGAGAGGGCTGGAGGTCCTTCCTGTGCATGTAGGACAGGCAGCAGTTGCTTGGTGCAGGGGGTGTTGGGCACAGGAATAGGAATGGCAACGTGTTGTGTATTTTGTATGTGCATGGTGTGACAGCTTGTATCTCATGCCCAGATCTTTCTTTCCTGCTGTGTTCATCAGGCCTACTCTGCATCCGTGGATGTGTGCTGTACATAGGAATCTGAATTGTGACTGTCATAGCAACATCCTCCTCCTCTTCCTCTTAGCATTCAGGAACATGGGATTAAGACTTTTGGCTTGATTAGCTTGGGGGTGAAGGGTGATGTTGGAGCACCAGCACTGCGTTTAGCTCCAGAAGAGCTGCAAAGGTAAGGTAGTGCTGGGGCAGAGAAGGCTCCATGCTGCTGCTTGTCCCAGGGTGGGTGAATGGGAGCTGCTTCCTGCACAGCTGGGTAGTGCTGACAGCCTGAGTGGATCCTCTCTGAGCTTGGCTCAGGCAGAAGGGGAGAAGGAGCTGAGTGCAGCAGGGGTCTGGACAGAGTCTGTTTGGAAATGTGGCAGCTGTGTGCTTGTTTTTATTTAACTTCTAATTATTTCATTATCTGCTTTATCTTTGGCACTTCTGGGGATTAATTCTAGCAGAGACTCCATCCTGCATCAGCAACTTTTAAGTTGCTCTGTGAGAAGTGTGATGCCATTTGGAGAAAAAAAAAATCATTTTCCATATTAATTAGAAGACACTATTGTAAAATTTATGTCAATTATCTAGCACTTTGTATGGAGAGGCAATAGCCTCTTTGTAGCCCAGGTGACAGCACCTTTTCATTACAATGAGGAATGTTGCTATTCAGTTGGATTCACTATAGAGCAATGCTTGGGGACAGCGAGTTGTGCATGCTGCTTAGTGTGGGGGGAAGGTTTGTACTAAATCTGGAGGAAAGAAACCAGTTGGAGGACTCCAGTATAAAATGCACATCAGGCTTTTAATGGAATAGAAAAACTTAATGTCTCTTCTATCCTCCTTCCTGTGGATGTGGTTAGTGGGCATGGTGAGGATGGGTTGACAGTTGGACTGGAGGATCTTAAGGGTCTTTTCCACCCAACCTTGATGATTCTGTGACTGTGATCTCAGTTCTGATGTTTTCTGCTCTTCCATGGTGACTTCTAGGGAAAATGGGTTGGGCAGGATCTTGAAAGAGAAATGCGTCACTCTTGAAGTTGAGTTCTCTAGGTCTTTTGTACTGGAGAAGGGCATAGATAAAGGTATTGTGCGTTTAACTCACAAGGACACCCTTGCAGTAGTTTTCCTGAGCAGAAGTCAAAGCAAGTGTAAAAAGGGTGAAGGATGCCAGCTCAGGATGTTGTCACATGGAGGATGTGAGTATTTGTCATCTGTACAGAATGCTGATGCCTTTCAAACCTTCATTTTAGATGTTCTTAATACCTTCCGCTGCAATCTTTAACCTCTCCTCTGTCTAGCAGCTGCATCTTAAAGAGCAGATGGAATTGTCTCGAGGATGGCAGGTCCTAATCTCAGTAACAGCTCCTATCCATTACAGAGTATAAGTGAAATGATCTGTGAGTGGGTTTATCTCAGATCCCACGTAGCATTTTTTTCTCCGCGGCAGCAAGAAAGGGAAATTATCAGGCAGTGAAGAAAAGCTGTTTATTTTTAACTTACCCTTTCTTTTTAAGTTCTATTTCATAATTAAAAAACGATAAGACATGGAAACCGATGACTGTTCACAGCTGAAGGGATAAGCTGATCTCAAGTTCACTGCGGAGATCGTGATAAGGAATGAGTAACACGGCAGGGCTTGGGGTCTCTTACTCCTTCCCTGTCCTACTGGAGCAGCGCACAGAGTTGTGAGCTGCCTTTCAGAGGTGGCACAGGATGGCTGATTTACAGGGTGCTGCTTACAAGGCTCACTGCTGCCTCCCGTGAACTACTCCTCACCTTTCAGACAGGGCTGCCCCCCTGTGTCTTACAAATCTTGGTCAATTTGGCTTCCTCCGAGTGACAGGAGGACAGCCCTCTGATTCATGCCAGCTGCTGGATGCTTTGTTGCTCAGAAGGTGCATTACACTTCTGATCTCTATCCCTAGTGGATAGTTGTACCCTACAGTAAATCATTCCTGTACCTGGCGTTCTGTCTTCCGTCATTGCTCTTGGCTCTGTATTTTTTCTCCCAACTTCTGCACACAGCAGTGAGAGGGCCAGCGTGAATTTGGAGATGGCTGTTACTGCAAAGAGTTCTTCCTTTGCCAGTGGAGCTGGCAGACAGAATTAGGAAATGAGTCCTCCTGGGGAGGTGACTGCATGCTCCTGCAGCAGCAGGACACCGACAGGCTGTTCTGAAATAACCTCACAAAACACTGATTCCTCCCTCTGACTTGTCTCTGCAGTGCTGGAGGGCAGTTGGGCTGTGAAAAAAGTGCCATGGGACCATCTCACTAAGCAACCACTTCTGAGTTCCCTTTTTTACGTCCAGTCCTCATTTGGGTGATGTCCTTTGCATTCTGCCTTAGAGGGAACCTTGCACTTAGCCTGCACAGGACAGGGTACTCTTCTTTTCCAGTTTGCACCCTATGTCATGCTCGTGGCTGCATGTAAGCTTCTGTAATGCAAACTTCAGATGTTGATTCTGTGCTTCTGTTTAGCTCTGGGATCAAACGGTAACAGCCTAGGAAGGAAATTCCTGTGTTTAAGAGAACTGTTTCAAGCATACGTTTTACTGAGCTATATTCTTCCTGGTAGGAAAATTATTGCCACTTGCCATCTCACAAATGCTTTGAGGAATGCATTTGTCCAAACAGTGCTTTGAAGCTAAAAAGTAGTGTGGGAGTACCTCTTGTTGTCCCTGAGTTAGGAGAGCAAATAGTTCATTAGGACAGAGATATATAACTACAAATTTGCAGTGCTGGGAGCAGAGTAAGGCAGCAGCATAAGAAGAGTGATTTGGCTGCAACGACTGTAGGCAACAAAAAGGAATCTCCTTTGGGCAGGAAAACATGGATGTGCAGCTCCACTTGTTTCTAATACCAGAATTCATTACAGACTTGGTCTTACCTTAATGTCTGTCAAGTTTGTTCCCATTGGCAGAGAAGCGCAGTGCTCAGGATGGAGGCTGAACTGTAGAAGCCAACATTTAAGCAGATTGTGAATTGTAATTAGCAAGCAAGTGGTGTGCTGACAAAACTAGCACTGTGAGGAGCTAGGGGTCAGGCAAGCCTGTGTTTGCATAGTGCCTACTGTGTTACGTTTGGGTGTGCACGTGGTAATTAGCTGCTTAACTTAATGAGATCATATCTGCATCTCCTGTGATGTAATTGTATTTGGGAAACTGCTGCTGCCGTAGTTAGAGGCTCATCCACTATTCTTGGTGAAAGCAGAAACTCTGTATATTTGAGGACTGTTTCTTACTGGCATTGAGAATATTTTCGTGCCCACCTCCATTTTATTAGTCATGTACCAAATATTGACTGTTAAAACCATTTTTGTTGCAAAAACAGGTGCCAGAGATGTGATCTACCACAGCCTTGTTCTAAGGCTGTGCTAAGGCATCTGCAACTGATTCTTCTGCTGTATTTGACTGTCTTTGGCAGGTTTTGGAAGTGGTACGCTCCAACTATGACACGTTGACCCTGAAGCTGCAGGATGGACTGGATCAGTACGAGCGTTATTCTGAGCAGCATAAGGAGGCTGCCTTCTTCAAAGAGCTGGTAAGCTGCAGAATCGACGGCTCTGTTCTGAAGCTTTTGCTTATGATCTGAGCGGAGGCATTTGGGGTATAACTGAGCAGCCCAGTTACTTTGTTGGGGGCTGCACCCAAAGGTGGGGCGAGGAGTCGTATCAAAACAAATGCTGTGCGTTGGTTGATCTGAAACCCTGTAGCTCCCTGCCCTGCAGCATGTGGCTAGAGAGGAACCACTAGGCTGTTGAGGCCATGAGATAGTCCCTATTCCTCCTTTGTGTGGGGATCTAATGTGCTTTGTGGTGATGAGCGTGCATGCTGGAAGAGCTGACTGCTCCCACCTTGATTGTATTGCACAGAGCACATGAGTCTTTTTGCTGTTGTTAGTAAGGCTGCACACTGTGGGGCTGAGCAGCATGTGATGCTGCTCACACACCTGCCTGCACAGGCTTTCCTCCATCGCTCCCAAAATCAGGTTCCCAGGGAAAGAAAGCAATGGCATTCTCTAGAAACGTCTCCTCCTGCCAGAGAAGAGAGCTAATGGTAGGAAGCACAACAAAAAGCATTTCACTGAAGACAAAACAGCATCCATATAATCTGGGCTGGTGTTCTTCAGCAGGCCAATTTGCTCACCCTGCTGCAGGGAGCTGCATTACGGTTGTTGAGTCAGGGCGTTTTCCCATCCAACGGAGCCAGTGTTTTTGTAGCGGCTGGTAGCCCTGAGGAAAGCCTGGTTTTTCCTCACTTTAAAATCGTTATGACTTGAGCGAGAGGAACATTCTCTGACTGGCAGCTCTTTCCACCAGTTTGAGGAGTGATTGTCTCTTCCAGCTCTGTCCTCTGATTGATGAGTAACTGAGGCCAGCCCACTCCATCACGAGGCTGCATGAGTCTGGGAGCGTTACGCCTCCTTCTGTCTAATGTGCTCCAGAGCAGGCATGCCTGAGTTGCTTTTGATCCCTTATGCAGCATACTGTTTAACCTTTTAATGTTTTTAGGTCGTTTCAGTACTAACTACAGAGTTAGGATATGGGCAAAAGCCATTTCTGACCACTTTTATGTTTTTCTTTGCTGCTTTGTGCCTGTTCTTCTCTCCTGCCTTGCTGTTTGATACCATATCCAGAATGCACACAAGGTAGCCTCCCTGTAACAGGCTTCTGTAGCCTGGCAATAGAACACATCCATGTTTCCGCTGTCATCTGCTCTGTCCCAGGGGTCCCTGCCCTCCTCAGCCAGCTTCTCCTTCCCCAGCCTCTCGGCCACATGCTTCCTGCCCCACTTTCCATTTGCTGTGGCAGGAGCTCTGGCTGATCATGCCGATTGATTAAAATGACATTGTCAGCTCTAAGATCGTCGCAGCTACAAAGCAGTGTGGCTGATTTTTTTTTCCTTGTAGCCCCTTTTTTGCGTATGTGTGATTCCTCCAAATTATGCATCATTTAAGAATCTGTTTAATGTAATCCAGGCCCCCCTCTGAAAATTACCAGTCCAGCCACCCCTGGGACCTTCTCCTCAAGAGCAAGTGATGCCTGAATAATTACTGTCTAAACGTGCTGATTGACCCAGTTGTGAAACAGTTTAATCCACACTTCTCTCGATGCCCTGAGAATTGGGACCCTATTAAAGGTTTTTTACTCACAGCTACACAAAATCCCCTGCTTTCCATTAAGCTGTTCCCTCAGCACAGCAGGAAATCAACGTGATAGGTTATGATTTGTCTTCAGCAAACCTGGCTCTCTTCCTGTCCTCCACGCTGTTTTTCCTCAAGGTGCACAGAAACGGATGGCTTTATTAATTGTTCTCACAGCTCATCGAAAAGGCCCTGCCCTGTTCTCCCCAAATCCTCTTCAGACTGGAGAGCTGGATTCTTTTTATTTCAGCTGTGGCTGTTGCTGGTGTGGTGCTGGATAACATCCCCACACCCGGTGTGCTGTGCTTAGCTGTTGAGATTGCAGGATTTCATGGAGGGGGAAAAGTGAAGTGAATTTGTTTTGTGGGACCTCCTACCGAAGGAGCAGGGCTGCTGGTGAGCTGCTGGTTTCCAGTACAGTTTCCAAGCTCACGCTGGTATCATCCTGTTTTCCTAAACAAAATTTGTTTGCAAATAACTCTTTCCAGGTTCTGCCTGGCTTTCTTGTCCCTATCTCTAACTGTGGGATTGCATTAAAGCAAACCCTGCTCGGTGGGGAATGACATGCAGGAGCCATTTTCCTCTCCAACATTCTTTTCATCTCTCTTTGCTCCCATTAAGTGGGTGAGCAGAAACTTCCCCGGGCCATTCTCTTGGCTCCTTTATGCTTAGAAATCTTGTTCTCACTCCTTTGACGTGCTTTGCTAATGCACTGCTTCACTGCTCTGGCTTTGCCTCTGTGCTGCTCTTTCTTGCTAATCCCGAGGAAAAATCTACTTTCTTCTCCCATTCCCTTTTCAAAGAAGTTTTCAAAGGCTTGCGACATTGTGGTGGAAGGTGATGTGCAGAGTGTTTGTATCAGCCGGGTTTTCCGGCCTGTTGTGCCACCTTTGAGGACCCAGAAAAAGGAAGTTAGGAGGTTTTCTAACTTTTTTTTCTTCTTTTTCTTTGAAACACCGGGGATGACATTTGAGGTCTGTGCTGCTTTGATAGAGTGAACAGTATGGATGTGGGCTTCTGGACCCTCGCGTTGCAGCTGCAGAAATACACAGACATTCAGCATCTTTCAAACGGCTCACTGTCTGCAGCTGGATGGGTTTCAGTGGAGTCTCAAAATAGTCTGATTAGGGATTGATTTCTGCAGGGGAAATTACACTAATTTGACTTTTAATTAGATATAGCAGTCAGTGTAAACCTTCCTCCCATTGTACAAATCTCTTAAGAGCTGCTTGTTGATTGGAAACAAGTTTAATTGATGGAACTTGCTACGAGATAGGAGTATCTGTACAGTGTTGCGCAAATCCAGCTATAATGACCCAAACTAGAACTGAATAATGTTTTCCTCTCATGGCCAATGCCTCCCATTCACTCATCCTCTCCTCTGCTCTTTGTTCTCCAAGTGATGCATTTCATGCACTTCCCATTTCTCCAAAGTCTGTGGGCTAAATGAGATCCAAGCTACTAATAGAGAGAAAACAATTTTAAAAGCTCTTCAGCACGCCCTATACAGAAGCAGGAGAGGACACACATGCTGCTTTTATTTCCTTGCAGAACAAATGTTACAGCTCTGAGCTTACTTTCTGAGGCTTGTATCTGCCTTCCTGAAGAGATCTGGCAGCTCCCACGCCAGCAGCCTGCTGCTGCTCCAGAAGTGCTCCTGGGAGAATCCTCATGGCTGGAGCAGCTCGGCCAGCCTGCAGGAAGCTCCTGAAGTTCCTTCTTGCTGCAGGCAGACACCTGCCTGCTGGCTGCTCTTCCAACCCCAAAAGAGGAATAAGCTCCAGCTCCCTGTGCTGAGCCTTGGTGCTGGAGATGATTCAATTTAGCTTTAATTTGAGCTATTCTTACCTTTAGAGCCGGTCGACTCAGAACTGCTTGCTATCTTGGAGCAGAAGAAATGCGAGATCTGCAGAGATGTCAGGGTCATTTTGTGTGTCGTTATCCCTCCTGCTTCTCTCCCAAATTTGTGCTAAGGCAAATCCAGGTCTATCTTGACTACTTTTGGCCTAAGTTGGAGTAAGCTTTTTTTTGAAACCTGGATCTGTCTTGAAGTGAAACCTCAGCTATCCATTCCCTTGCTTCACAACTTGCAGGGTTAAAAGTATTTCTTCTTTTCCAGTGTAAATCTTTTGTCTTAAATTAAGCTGAATATTTCTTGCCCCATCCCTGGGGAGCCAGGGAGGTATTATTACTCATTGTTCCCTTCCTGACCTCATTTTACATATTGGAGAGTGTTTGCTCTGTTCCTCCTAAACCTTCTCTTTGCAGACTAAATAGGCTTAATTTCTTCTGCTCTGCCCCATAGCTACAATTTCTGCTAAGCCTTGTGCTCTCAGCATTTGTCACTTCAGCTTCTCTGCTGCCTCACCGTCCTTACAGACCTGTATGTGTGTATGAATTCGGTGCCTCCTACAGCTGATGCCTGGCCGCAGCAGCAGTTCCTGAAGCCAGGGGCTCGTTTCTGCTTGTTCCTTCTGTTGTTGGGACCCACAGAAATGCTCCTGGCCAGAATAGGGATGCTGACTTACACTACTTGCAGCATCTTTCTGCCCTTCCTCTTCCCCCATCCCATCCCCCAAGGGCTGCAGGAGGGGCCTCATCAGTATAAACTCCTCTTCCAGCCCTGATGACAGATCCCTTATTTTGCTTCTATTTATTTCATCCCTCAGTGCTTTTAAAAAGCACAAAGCACTAACCAGGTCAGCAACAACCTTATTATCACAGGCTCCAAGTCTCTGGGAACTGTAATCCCGTTGTTTGGATGAGCTCGTGTCAGTTTTGCTTTCTGTCACTGCTGCACAGGCGCTGACACAGATGATGTTTGACTCTGTTTTCTCGTTGCCGAGTGCAGCTGAGATGGAGCCCAGTCTGGGGCAGGCACTCAGGGGTGGGAGCTGCTGTGCCACGGGGCTGCCCACCTCATCCTGCGGGGGTGGCCACAAGTCAGGCATTGTTAAGGGAGGAAGATGCGTCCTCAGAGACAGCTGGCCATTCAGCATCAAGTTCAGGGCACTCAGCACAGAATATGCAGAAAACTGCAGCAAGTCCTCTAGAGCTATCACAGTTTCATGCTGAGCTGTGTCAAAGTCACTTGTGCTTACTGGGAGCCAAAAAGCATCCATTGGCTAAAACGTCTTGCTTTGTCTCCATCAGGTTCGGTCCATCAGCATCAACGTGAGGAAGAACCTTGCTTTCAACACGCTGAGCCAGGAGCTCCTGCTGAAGGAATTCTCCACCATCTCTTGAAGCAGAGGCGCAGCTGCTGCACAGGGCTGACTAGAGATGGGCCCAGCTGGACAGGGACACCCATCTGCAGCCTTCCACCTGCAGAATGGACTGCACTTCTTCCAGGGGAGAGCCTTGCTGCTGTGTGTTTGATCCCAAAGGCGTGTGTTTCAATGGGACTGTGGCTGAGGAAAGGTGGTCGGCCTATGGAGGAGGAGGAAGCAATTCTGTATGGTGCCAGGGGGGTGGGCAGCTGTTTCTGTGAAGCAGCGATGGGAGATTCCCTCCGCAGCCTCAGGGAGGATGTACTGGAACCCTTCGTAGCAGAGGTGAGGAGAGCTCACAACGAAAACAATAAAGTCACTCTGGCTGTGTGAGGCAGTGCTGGGTGGAGGTCGCTCATCTGTTGTGTGTGAAAGTTCTCCAAGCCCTAAAAGCTCTCTGGATCAACCGTCCCTCCTGCACCATTGGTCAAATCCACTGCTGTCCTGCTGGGAAATCTGGGGAGATTTAAAATCAATTCCCAGGAGAGTAGGCCCCGATCATTGCTGGTTTCACATGTCAGACAGTGTTGCTTGAACTAAACCATCAAATTACTGAAGGAGAAGATCTGGTTGAGCCAGCGTGCGGGATATTGGCCACCAAAGTGAGTGCTGTGTAACTGGAGGCCAGTTCTGGTTGGGGTCACTGCTGCTTCCAGCAGCCCAGCACATTTCTGCTGTTTGTAGGTTTGAGGGAAATTTTTAGATATTCCCCTTCCACAGGGCAGAGGACAGGCTGTGTCCCTCCCCACTCCCCTTGCTGCCCATCGGAAACTGCTTTGTGACAATCCTCTTCCTCACAGGAACGTCTGCCTTGCCCGTGTTTGCAAGTGCGTGGTGAGCTTCCTGAGCTGACAAGTCCCCAGTTTTTCCTTGTGTGTAGCTTGCAGCTACTGCAGTTAAAACAGCTGCAGAAGTAGTTAATTCACTTTCTAGCTTATCCTTCTGTTTTTCCTAAGCAGCCTGCAGCAAATTTCCACAAGAAGAGCTCCAGGATGGTGCTTAGGGGCACAGGGGGACCTTTCTGCTCAGTGTGTCAGAGGTTCCCAGGGAGGGCAGAACCTGTTCTGAGTGCCGTGTCAGGCTGCCAACTCAGGGATATGCAGCATAAACACCTTCTCCCTGTTGGTACATTTTCAGCTCCCAGCAGTGATGTTAGGACCTGACTCTGTAGGTTGAACTAAAGAAGTTATTTGCATCCCAGCTCTCCTTTTTTTTTTTCCTAGAAAATGAGAAGGAAAAAACAAGTGCCTCACCCTGTCCTTAGCCTCACAGGTTGGAGTGCTCATTCCTCTGCCAGTTTTAGGCAGTGTTTATTCATGTCAACATGTACCTATTACTTTAATGTTTCATCTTTACCTGCCATGAGCATGGGGACCTAAAGCTGCTTCCTTGGCTGCAGAGCCTGCTAGGTGCTGTGTTCTCCTTGGGAGCATCAGCTTCTCCCCACAGAGGCTGCTTGCTGCAGCATGGAGCTGTCTGGCTTCTGTCAGCTGAGCCAGATCCCTACCTGCTGCTGTGCCGTGTGTGTGTGTGTCAGCAGGATGGTGCTGGGCCAGCAAGCAGGCTGCGGGAAACCACTCAGCTTGAGAGCGGGCTGGGGCATGTGGAAGGTGCTCATTTCTCCACTGGCAAAGGGGTAGGAATGATCTGTCTCCCTCGTGCTGTCCCCTTGCTGTGATGAACCTGGGCTGTGGGTGGGAGCAGCTCCTGAGGTTGTCCCCACCAGAGGCTGAGCTGGGGAAGACTGCCGCACACGTCCTCTTGTCATACTGTCACCACCCCAAGCACTGTAAATGGATGTACATATGTACCTAGAGCTCAATAAATAGCAGAGCCCTGCCTGTGTGATGTGTGCAGTGTTTGTCACCACGGGGGAGAGCTGGGGGTGGCCCTGTGCCCGGCGGGTGGTGTGTTGGCAACCGGCGCTGAGCACAAAGTCACGGAGCTCCAGCGTCCTGCCAAGGGCTGGCTTGTGACCCCAGGCTTTCCTGTGTCCCATCTGCACCGTTGAGTGTATTTTATTATACCTAATTCATAACCCAGTCTATTATTGGAAGAGCTGTTTCTGAGGCTTGGTGAGTGTGGGGAGAAATCAGATTCCTGCCTTTAAATTAGGCTGCCGCTGCAGGGAAACAAATAATTTACAAAATAATGACCAAATTCTGTAGGAGAAAAATGGAGTTTGAGCTAAACTTCGGAGGGAGATATTAAAAATTGATTTGCAAGTGCTACTGTGAATTTTGGTATCAACCCTTCCTTCATGGCTCATACAGGTCCCGTTTTTCAAGCCAGGCTGAGGGAGAGGTGGCTCTCGGTAAGGAACCCTCCCCATCCTGCTCGGTGGCCTTTCAGGAAGCTGAAAGGAAAGCGGTAACGTTAGGGAGCTTCAGGCAGCCAGGTGGGGCGGGGTGCAGTGGGCCTTTGCCCTGCACCATGCAGTGAAGAAGAATCATAGGTCGGGTTTACATCGCCCGCTGCCCACCTGTGCTGCAGGACTTTGCCCGGCTCTGCGGCTGATGGAGCGCACGCTGGGCTCTGCTGGCGGCCTCTGCCTTCCTGTGCCGTCCCTCCAGGGCGAGTTGAATCACTGGGCTGGAAATTGAATCCAATTGAATAGATTAAATGAGCTGGGTTTGCCGCTCGCTCGCTGCGCTGCGGCTCCGAGTCCCGCCAGCCCGCTGCTGGATCCAGGAGATCTTGGAGTCCCACGGAAGGAGGGGAGGCTGTGGGCAGCCCTGGGCTGTGCTCTGCCCGGTGCTGCTGAGGCAGGAGAGCCTTCAGCCCTCACCGTGACGTGCAGCCCCAGTGCGTCCCGGAGCCAGCAGCGCCGCGCACCGTTTCCAAACTGGGAATAATGGCACGTGCTGAGAGGGGATGGCTATTGATGGCCGTGGCTTTAAAATAACTGCTAACAGTGGATAAAGTCCCGTGATTTCGAGCTCTGGGCAATTACATCTCTGAATTTTCCTAAAGATAGGATCAGACTCTACTCCCTGCTCTCTGCTTTTCCGATAGAATTAATGGGGATGGAGATTTGCAATTAGACAAGGCGAAGGCTGGGAGGGCAGATCGATGCCTCGTGGTTACCTAATGAAGTGTTAAACTACGCCTTCCTCCCTCCCCGTGCCCCATAGCGGTGTGATGGGCTGATCCCAGCGGGCTGCTGGGGTGAGAGCTCCCGTGGCCTTCCGCCTGTTTGCTGTCCTGCTGTGCCGGCCTCTTTGTGCCGTGCACGTGGGAGCGGCTCAGGATGAGGACTTGGTGTTGAGCCTGGGATTTTTGGTGGGGTCTGCAGGGACGGATGCTGCCAGCAGCCGCTCGCAGCCCTGTGCTCATCCTCTCTCCCCGACTCCAGGGAAAGCTGTGCTGGCCACACGCTGCACTGTCACAGCCGTACCCATGGAGCAGCAGTGCTGCTGCTATCCCTTATCTAAGCAGTGCCGACAGGTGACTGATGGGCCACCTAGGGAATGCACCTCGTGCCTGGCTCGATGCCATCGGCTGATGTTTAGCACTGTGAGTGCACGCGGGTGGCACCGGGGCGCACAACACCCCTAGTGCCCTGCAGCACTGAGCAGGGATGGATGGGGCAGGCAAGGTACAGCTGGCTCCTGGGGCTGGTCGCGGGAGACGCGCCCAGAGGGCAGGCTGTCCCCATTTCTACGCCGCGGGGCAGTGGGCTGTGCATGGGGCTGCCCCACGGCACCCCGTGCCCCTCAACAAGCCCCTCGCTTTTCTCGGCCTGGCACGGCATCTCTGCCTGTGCTGCAGGAGCGCTGAGCGGGGATAAAAATAGCCGCGTTCACCTCCCGAAGGACCGGGGCTGAGCAGAAGTCGATCCGCTTCCCCGCGCAGCGCCGCTGGGCCGGCCGTGCCCGCAGCGCTGACCCCGGGCTGCTGGAACCCGTGGGGCGCAGCTGGCAGCGCTCCCTTCGTGGCACCTCCGGTGTGCAGCCGCTCCCCAGGGCCCGCCGGGTGCGCAGGGTGGGGACGCGATGCGGTGGCCGAGCGCAGCGGGGTGCAGGACCCTCAGGTGGGGCGGCTGGAGGCGTCCCGGGGGTTCCTCTCCGGCTCTGCAGCCGCAGGGAGGGAACGTGTTTCCCCAGCAGCTCTCCGAGCATTTCTCCGCCGCGTTTTCTTCGCTAAATGGCTCTTATTTTTAGATGCAGGCAGTTGCTAAGCATCGCTGCCTCGCTAAGGCGGCTGCTTTCGTGGCTTGACACCAAAGCACGCTGACAACACGCTGCCGCGTGAGCGCGGCCCTCCCTCCGCGCTGCTCCGTGTTCCCTCTCTGCCCGGCGATCCCCACGGGCTGCGCTGGGTGCGGGGATCGGGGCGGGATGCTCTGCCCTCCATCTCCCTGCAGGGAGCGGGACCCGAGGGGCGGCACACGCTGGCAGATGCACCCAGGCCGCGCTGGAGGCACGGAGCACCGCTGTGCCGTGGGGTCTTTGCAGCTCTCAGCGTCCCCAGAACTGGTTCAGACACGGATAGCAGCGGGGGCAGCAGCAGAACCGAGTGCGGCCGTGTGGCCGTGGGACGCTCTTCCTGTGCCCCTGGGGGCCGCCTGTCCCCGTGCTGCTGCTCCTTTCTCCATCTGTGGGACTGCGGTGGGAGGTGGGAGGGATCTTGGGACAGATCGTGTCGGGGATGGGGACGGCGGAGGTCCCGGTGGGTTCGGGCCGCCCTCATCGTGCCCTTGCAGAGCGTTGGCCGTGCACAGCCTCGCTGCCCAGTTGCAGTCCGGCTTCTCCACCAGACAGCGCATCACCCAGTGCTCCACCTTCCCTACCGGAGGTCCCAAGGAGGGGGCCGGGGTGCCCACAGCGGCGTGCGGGGCTCTGCGCTCCCCTCGCCGCCCCATCCCCATTCCCGTGCAGACCCCGACCCCGGGGTCTCCCGAATACCCTCAGCGCAGCGGCTCCTCCCGCAGCCCTCCCTTCCCGTGCCTCAGTTTCCCCGCGGCGGCGGGGCCGGGCCGGCGGCTCCAGGGAGAGGAGGCGGGGAAGGACGGGAGGGAGGGGGCGGCCGTGCCCAGCCCCGGCGGCGGCGGCGGCGGCGGTAGCGGCGGCGGCGCGCTCCTGCGAGAAGAGACGAGCCGAGCTCCGGCACCGCTGCCCCCTTCCCGCAGCCGCGCGGGGCGGGGGGAGGCGGCGGCCGCGGGCCCCCCCTGCCCGGCGGCGGAGCCCGTGCGCCCCGTCGCGGTTCCCCCCTCCCCCCCGCCGCGGAGAAGATGCGGAGCAAAGGCAGGAAGGAGAGCCTGTCCGACTCCCGCGACCTGGACGGCTCCTACGACCAGCTGACGGGTGAGTGCCGCCCCCGCGGAAGGTGCAGCAGCCGCTCGGGATCGCCGCCCCCCCGGCCCCGGCCCCGGCCCGCTTCCAGCCCCAGCCGAGCCCCGGCCCCCGCCGCCCCGCTTCGCCAGCGGAGCGCCGGAGCAGAGCGGCTGCCCCGGCCCCGGAGGGGCACCGCTCCCCGGGGAGGCTGGCAGCCCCGTAGGGAAACAACCCTCATCCTCCCCGCGGGCGTTGGGGCGTTTGGGTCTCTGCCGGCCGCCCCTAAGCCCGCCTCCCGCATCGCCGCTCGGGACAGCGGGGTTTCGCGGCAGCCCCCCGGCAGCGGAGTCCCCCGGGAGCCGGGCCCCCCAGCGGCACCCGAAGCTCCGGTTCTCCTCCTCTGGGTGCTCCCTGGGGCGCAGCAGACCTACCCCAGCCTTGGGACGGCTATAGTGCAGAGAAGCCACATATACCCCATCTGCAACCCTGTGCCATCCTGTTCCATCCTCACCCCCAGCAGGGAATTGCCCGTCTTCCCAATCCCAACCCGTTTTCCTCCCATCACACCTCGTGCCCTGCTCTTTCCTCACTTTCTCTCCGTGGATCTGGTCAGATCCTATCCCCTCGCAGAATGTCAGCAGCTGGGCAGTGGGGCTCCCACCTTCGAGGGCTGTGATGGAGCTGAGCCACCCTGGATTCCATGCAATGGGACACCTGGCAGCCCCCAGCACTGTGATGCTCCTACAGACGTGTTTCAGAGGGGATTTCAGGAGCTCCAAGGGGGTGTCTGGGCAGGACGGGACCCCCACCCCATAAGCAGCCCCATGCAGGGATGCCCTGCCGGCTGCCTGCACCACCGTGTTGCGGGGAGATATTTTTGAGCTGTGTAGGAACTTGGAACCCACACACAACTTTTGGTTTCTCCGGTAACTTTAACACGTCCATATGGATTTAAATCAAAGCGAGGTTAAAAATAAACCCCAGGCTCTCCCAGGCTGAGACCTTTCAGGGTCGGGCTTTGCCTCCGAGCACAGCACGCAGCGCAGACCCAGGGATGGAGTCGCTGGGAGCCCCCACAGCAGCCGGCCCACATCCCAGCACGGCCACCGCCTGCTGGATCCCCCAGGAATGCAGGGCTGTAGCAAAGCCTGCAGGCAGAGTGGCCTTCATGTCCCCTGACCCATCGAGGGGACCCTCACCCCACGTTCGTTAGCTCAGTTGGGGATAAGCATCATCCTGCTGCAGCACGGCCTGGGGACATCCACAGTGTGAGATGTGATCTGAGGCTGTCTGATGTCAGGCGATGGCACATCCCCAGTGATCGTCCCTTGTTGGTCTCTATCGTCCCTCCCCTGCCAAAAACAGGAGAGAGACCAGTACCAGATCTGTGAGCACAGGAGGGCTGAGGGCAGCCCCTGAGAGAAGAGGGGCTGCACGTGGCTGCGGGTGTGATGTGGGCAGCACCGGGCAGAGGGGAGAAATGCCATCAGGAAATTAAAAGGGTCCATTTTGGGGACAGGGAGATGACGCTAGAGAGAAATAAAAGCCGTCCATAAATTACAGGATTCCTCCGGCCCGCTAATGACACGGGTGATTAGTGTGAGTGCAGCCCATGTCCAGGGACATGGCCCTCAGCATGGGAGAAGCAGGACCCGATTGCCGCTCTGCCCTCAGGAATGGAGGTACGGGGCCCCACAGCATAGGGGTTCCTGGGGAAGCAGGGACGTTGGCCCCACGTCACCAATGGGACCAGCAGGTACAGGCATGGGGCCAACATAGGGCTGTCTGCAGTGGGTCAGACTCTCTGGCTGCTCTTTGTAGGGTGAGGGATTTGCCTTTGGGGGTGAGGATTTGCTGTTAGGGCAGTCGCTTTCCCCCTGCTTTCTCCCTCCCGTTGCATTGCAGGGCCCCGAGTGAATTCCTTGCTCCACCCCAAAGGCAGCCGCAGTGTTAGCAGGGGGTGAACAACTGCTATAGAGACCATCAGCAGAGCTTTGGGGTCCTTCTGCCTCCCCCGGTGGGGAGTTGGGGACCCCACAATTCTCCTTGCAGCACCCCACGAGATGAGATCCCCAATAACAGTGAGTGTGTAGGGCCGTGCAGCTGTAGGACAGAGCTGCATGCTGTGCTCTGGGGTGCGTCACAGGGATGGGGACAGTGACAGCGCAGCTGTGTACAGCTCCCTGCCTGCCACATGCCAGCACACGGACACCCTGGGGCTCACAGCCCCCTCCCCAGCGCCCTGCCCAGAGGTCCCAGCCCGCTGCCCACCCTCTGCTTCCCCCACCGCTGCTGCCACCCCTTATGCCCACCTTGCTCCGCTCGCTCTGCCCGGCCGTGAGGCGGGGCTGGAAGCCGGGCTGTCCCAGCTCTCCCATGGGAAATTCCTCCTTGGGGTGGGGAACGGTGTGGAAATGCTCTCACTGGGGCAGGGGATCCCAGGGGGCCCCATTGTGCCAACGCGCCCACCCTCGGCGGATGCTGCACCTTCGCGGGGCGATGGATGGGAGTGTTGCCTGACTGCCTCGTCTGTCTGCTGCCTCCCTCCTTCTGTCTGCTCCTCGCCTCGGCCCTTTGCTGTCCTGGCTTGTTTGCGGCTCTATAGGGCCAAGCGATGGGGCTGCGATGCCGGGGTGAGGGAGGGGGCGTGCTGCGGGCTGGGATTTGCAGGTCGGGGCCGTGGGAATGGCGGCATGGGATGGCTGGGCATGGAGTCGGTTTGCTCCGTCGGATTTCTGCAGGCGCCAATGCATAATTGATGGCTCGGCACAACTTTGGCCAAGGTGCACAGATCCTTCTGCACGTGGCTAGGGATGCACGTGTGGGGAGTTTGCTCCCGGGGCATCGCATCTCTGGTTTGGGATGATGGGGCTGTGCCGGGTCCGTGTGGGGTACAGCCTTTGCCCTATAGGTCGGGTACCAGGAGCCCAGGAGCCCCAAGGCCCCATTAACGGAGCTGCCCCTCCCCTGCTGGCTCGGCTCATTAGTGGTGTTTTCATTAGGAGAAGTGGTTTGGTTTCATTTAAGCCAAATTGCTGTGCTCGGGAGATGACAAATCCATCTGCCGTCAAATCGCTCTCCTGCCGCCGGCGTGGATCCCGGCCCCGGGCAATAATCGCTTTGCAGATGAATGAGCCCCCAGCGGGACGGATCTCCGCTGTGCCGGAGCACTGTGGGTGAGCCGCTGCCCCAGCGCCCCGCTGTGGGGCTCCGCCGTGGGGCGAGGTCAGAATCCCTCCCCCCTCTAGCGGGATCGGGAGGATGAGCGAGGGGAGGGGAGGGACTCCAATCCCGGCCCGTCTGGATAATTGCTTCTTCCTAGATTGGGTTTTAAAAAACGGCATTGTTTACAGACAGCCCCCAAATGGGTTTAGAGGCGGTAATCCCCCAGCCCTGCCTCCCTCCTGCTGGTGCTGCCACATCCCTCAGGGTCTCCTTTTCCCCCACTTCGATCTCCCTCCTGGTGCAGCAGCACAGGTGCTGACCTGAGCACCTCCCCGGCCCTGATTCACTCTTGGCTCCAGGAATCCTTCCCGTCACTTCCCCCTTTGCCGCAAAGTCATTAATGCGCGTGGAATCATTTGTTGTGTAACTCGGAGGACGAAGGTGAGCGCTGCTCTCGGGGCGATGCTGGCACACCAGGGTCAGGAGGGGCTCCAGCAGCGATGCTCTCCATACCCAGCAGGTTCTTCCCATCTCTCGGAGCCCAGCAGTGATGCAGGGGACTTTCACAACCTCGGGGCCTGCTGCTCCAGATGGGGCTGATTGGGGCTGCAGGCCCACAGCATCCCTGTGTCGGCTGAGGCACGGCTATGGGGTCCGGCCCTCGCTGCCCCCATGGCCACTGCCCGGCACTGCCATCCTCCTGTGCCAACGCTCAGCTGGGCGCTGGTGTAAAGGTGCTGCCATCAGAAATCTTAGGGAACCTGAGTGTTGGGCAGGATTTAGCGATGGGAAGGGACACAGCCAGAGCTGGAGGCTGCACAGAAGATGGCAACATCCCATGGTGTCCCAGCAAGGGGACATCAGTGGAAGTGGTGGTATCCAATGCTGAGCCTTACAGGGGTGGAACAGGGGGGTGATGGTGCTTCATACTGAGAGCAGCCCATGGAGACCCTGAGAGGAGCTGCCCAGGGGGTGTGGGGACCCTGAGCTGCAGTTCCTTTCCCTCGGTGCTGCTTGCTTTCCCAGCTCGCCCTGCCATAATTACAGCCCGCTGCCGTGCTCTGATAATACCACTTTCCTTTTATCACTGCTTAATTAAATAACTATGGGGAAGTGAGGGGCCATTAACCCCTTGTTGGCTGGGTAGTGCTGGGAGGCACATCAAAGCCTGGGGGCATCTCATTTGGGCTCATCGGTGCCCCCCCCCCCCAGTGGCACAGCACAGGGTTTGTGGGTGAACCTGGCTAATTATCGCCCACCTCTCACTCCATGGGAACCCTAATGAGCCATCCCTGGAGCCCAGACAGTGGTGGTACAAGTCTGCTGCTAATTAGATCCAAAAGTCCTCTCATGAGCTCAGGTGCAGGGGTGATATATGATTATTCTTGATTATTTCTGATTATTTTGTATTTATTTCTGAGTAACTGCAGGTGCATTCTTTTCCTATTGGGGTCTGCTGGGGCTCTGTGGGTTGGAGAGCTCCTGACTCCCCATCCCAGGTCAGAAACAGGTCTTCAAGGGACCCCTGGAGAGCACCTTCCTTCTCCAGTGGAACAGATAAACAAAGACATGGTAGCACGGCTCCTGGAGCAGTCCAAAATAGCTTTCATGTCCCCAAAATGTCACTTTACAAAGGCAGATGCTGGGGGCCCCCGTGGGGCTTGAGGCAATGGCTGAGCATGTGGCCTTGCTGGTGGCCCTCCTGGTGGCCTTGCTGGTGGTGCTGGTGGCTTTCCCAGCGGCCCTCCCTGGTGACACGCAGCTTGTGGGCATCCAAGGAGCAAAAGGCTGCTGACCCCGCTGCTGTAACTCTAGGGAGGGGAGATGGCCCTCTGTGAGCCGTGCTCCACAGTTGGCAGCTCCCT